GCTGTCATAACCTGTTACTCAGTGTCACCAGCTGAAAACTATAACATGCTCAGTGAGATATCACGTGAGAATTTTCATCCCCAAGCGCATGGTGATGTTCAGCTATTAAATCTTTGTAGACTAGTCGGGTAAAACAAAACAAACCACCAATGCACGAAATACACATTGCATGTCATGAACCTGATATTTTTACGTAGATTATAAAATATGGTAAGGACGCCGTGTGTATTATGACCGCTGTTTCAATACCAATTAGCAGGAAACTGTGACAAATAGCAGATAGCAGATGAAATAATTACTTTGCAAATTTTTAAAAGAATTACACATGCGTGTCATTGTTTTGGCTCTGTACTCTAATGAGAAGAATGATTTATGTATTAATCCCTTGCTCCAGAAAATGATTTACTTACCAACGCAATGAAACAGAGTCCTTCGTAACAAACTGATAGAAACTCAAGTTGTTAGGAAACTCTCTAATTTATTTGGAAGTCGGTGGTTTATTAACATGCTGACAAGAGACCTCCGGTGACCCTCATAATAAACCAGTTGCTTTCGTTCCATACCTTCAAATGCTACTTAGGTTGAATTTATTTAAATCCATCTCCCAAATTGTACTTCCTTTTCGTATTTTATGATCAAAATTCAGTAGATTATTTTTCCCTTAGATATATAAAAACTGAAAACATGTTGCGAAATTCGACTGTGAAACATGTTTCAGGGACAATAATTTGTTATCATCACAACATATTTAATATTGTTTGGAGCAGTGGAGATTTTTATGTTGGCTTCCTTGGCTATGATATGTGATCTGTCTCCATGAGATGGCCGAGTTATTAGCACGTAGGCTTAGTATTCAGTTGGTTAAGGTCTCGTTAAAGTTATTTAGTGGTTTCCCGAGGTTACTCAAGATAAATTCTAAAATAGAACTCATCCCATAATTTGGTGCTATGTTCTCTGAAACACTGACAGAGTTTCAGAATAAACATTAAATAAACAAAAACAAAATTTCACAAGTCTAGATCCAAAGAACTGGACATTAAACATAGAATGTTCGCTACAACATTTTTGGTTCGTTACATTTTATAGCAATATATTGACAAGAGGTGCGTTTATTCTGATACCTATAATCATACAAAATGAGTCAGGATTATGAATTAAGTGTCGTTCCGACCTCAGAAGTTAGCATGATTTTAGAGTTCATAAAAAGGGCGTTGAATAATTGAAAGACATAAAAGTGGAGTGACCTCTAGACCTAAGACTTTTATAGCAAGTTTCATAAAGCTGTCCGTCATTTGGTTATTAGAAATGACTAACACATGGGAAAAGTGGTAAAATACAAATATTTTTGTTGTTTTACTAAAAACTTGAAAGCTGTATTCCTTATCAAATTACACACATACAATCTTTGCCCCTTTGTATTCTGAATGATCCTAGCTGATAAAAAATATATCACACGACAGGACTGTATTTGTAAGAAAGAGTTACTGTAAATATCATCCACGTAAATGTAACGACAGTTTGGAGACTCGAACCTGTTTACGTATTTTCAACTATTAGAACCGTGATTATTCTTTGTTTTCAGCGTGAGCAGAGCACGAAGACATTAGTGCCTTTTCTCGTGCAGACTTTTGGACATTTTAGGCAAACGTCTGTCTCCATTAAGAACGACATTTCCTTATAAAAAAAGTGTTAAAATAGATCATACGTACGAGACTTTAGTCTTGTTTTCACTTGTACTACATTGCCTTCTTTCCTTTTGTATTTATTTCCCGTGTGCAGGGCTCTGGAGACAGTCTGGAACAGTGGCATTGTCATTACGCGTTCATGTTAGCTTGAGGATGATCGTGCGGTTGTGCAGAAGAGAGGGGGAGAGGTGGAAGTCGTTCCAATCAATAGGATCACGACATCCCGAACACCACATCCTTGTGGCAGGCAGAGGGTATAAATATTTATAAGATCACAAGTGGGTGTAGACAGTGTAATCGAGAAAGGGGTGGTTTGTTTTTTGAAGGAAGGAATTTCTTTTCTCACGGCAAGGAGCTGTTCGGGATGCGGAAAGAGATTTGACAGGGCTTTGGAAATGGAATTGGTAAACACATGCGGTATTGGCTCCAGGTTTTGTGGGAAAATCAGGGGGGGTGAATCATGTTTGTTCGAAAAGTAGTTGGATCCAAGTGGTTAGGGTTTCTTCTCGTTATGATCATGTTTGTTCGAAAAGTAGTTGGATCTATGTGGTTAGGGTTTCTTCTCGTTATGCAGGAAGTCGAGATTTTGATTACTGTCCCAGAAGCCGATTATCGTGACTGAAGTCTCTTCAGGAAAATACTGAGCAAGTGCATTTAAATAGGCCACGATTTCTTCCATAAATAAAAATACTTCCCTATTGATATTTTTTAAATGACTTTAACAAAAACATAGGCGTGGTTGTTTGTAAGGCATTTGAACTGAAACGTACTACACTTTTTAAATGTTATTTCAATTTTTCCTTGCATTTTGTTAATGTCGAATTTTAACTTTGTTATTTTGTCTTTGATTTTATATTTAATTACGATTAAAATTAGACGATGTTCAAGTATGAACTTAACCCTTTGATTAAAAACAAATGCAAATGAAGAAAAAGTGGAGAGAGTGAGGGAGTAGTGATAGACGTCGTATTGTATGGTAAAAAAAGAGAAATTTTTGGCTGTGAAGGTTCCCAGGTAGAACCTGCTCGTCCTTCCGTTAATGGTAGGTTGAAGAAAAGGTAAGGCATTCGGAAGTAGAAAAGAAGCGAGGCGTAAGAGAGAAATTGAGCAAGGGCTTACTACTTCTTAGTCGGAATTTTAATTTTACAAAATGTGATTTATCTTGTGTCAGTATTGTCTCACTTGTCTTCTTAGCTTTTTCAGCTTGAGGATATGGTACAGTGTAGAACGTCTGAACAATATTTAAGGATTCAGATTTTACTGTATATTGTAAAATTTACATTTCATATTGTAAATAAAGGAATCATTTATTAACAGGTCGCAGAACGACAATAAAATAAAATAATTTGTCTTATGAAATACATATAATATACGTTGCGAGGAAGTGTAACGCGTTTTGGACTTTGAGCAAGTTATTAATTACCCTGATCAAATCTCGAAACAGAAGTGGAAGACTTCAGTGTTATCATCACCATCGATTATTCTGGCAGCCGTCCCGGTAATTTAAAAATCTCAAATTTACCGTGATCTTGATCGTCACCATTCAGGGAAACAATTACAAGACGCAACCCGCCAATATCTTCCCTGAAACCAAACTTCCGAAACAGCCAAGGCGATCATAAAACTAGACACACTTACTGCGATAGCATCTAGTGATTTAGCTCGAAGACCTAGTTTCGTTAAAAAGATCTTGGCTGCGTTTGATAGAGTTTTCTAACGTCTCTCTCTCTCTCTCTCTGTCTGTCTCTCTCTCTCTCTCTCTCTCCCACTTCCAGTACAAAGAGAAATCCCCATGATATGTGGGACTATGTGCTTTTGATTACAGCCAACTACGGAAATATCTCCCTGGTAGCCTATCCATTAATTACCATATCAGAGCTTATAGCTACAAACCACCGTAGTAACACGTGCCCTATGGCTTGACGTTCTCATATTAAATCCATCCATCTACGTAATGAAATTAATCTAATTGTACCTCTGCCTTTGTCGGTTTTTATTTTTTAATAACCCTATTTTGTTTTATATACATATCCCTTTTCCACTTTGTACATGGAGAAAAGTTTTAAAAGGAGGAAAAGGTGATGAGCTTTGGTGTTTGTTTTTTAGGAATATGAAGTTGGGGGGTGAGGGGAGAGGTTTGAAAATAATCACTGTGAGTCTTAATCCATGCTCTGACGAAAATCCGGCTTCCATGCAGTTTGCTAGCACACATACAGGGTGCCCATGTAGAATTGAATTAGCCTGAATGTCTGTACGTATTTTAAAACTTGTGGATCGCTGAAAAGTTCAGGAAGCCCTATAGATAACATTATTTATCTCTGTTCCATTAGCTTGCTCCCAAACAGCGTTGGAACCATAATCTGGATTGCTTTTTTTAATATCCTTTCTGCTGTTAATTGCTGTTGTTTTTTTTTCGCTATAACCTAGTTACATTTTTTGTCTGTCAGGTGAATATAACAAAAAAAAGTAAAAAACAAAAATCTCACTTCAAAAATTAAAAAATGCTGACTAATATTTCGTTTAAAATAATTTTAATGTAATTGATGTTTTTGTTTACTTATCTTTCACAGTTAATATCAATCCCTGCATTGCGATATACGCCGTTTTACAGCAGGTTCATATTTTATTCCTGAAATGATTTTAAAATTGTGTCTTCGTTTCGAGATCTAGATAATTTTTAAACATGCTGATATTTTTTTCCGTAAACTTCATTCCTCTGCACATATTTCTAATAGTTTATATTGCTCAGTACCGTTTGTGTTAAATATCGTTTAAAAATGTTTTTTCTTGCTTTCAGAGGAGTCTATATTCTTACTGGCATTAAGAAACTTTGGGAAGTATGTAAGTAAGCAAATTGTTTAACTATTTTGAATATCGTGGTAACTACATACACCGTAGCACATGGTGCTTTTTTATTTTTAGTTTCTGCAACATATTTTGTTTTTTATAGTAAATATTGACCCACAGAGCTGCCAACAGAACGTGTTGGTAAAAGATTTTATTATCTACAAGTCGCTGAATGTTGAGACACTTAGGTCATCATGAGTCAGATAGTGGCTATTGAACTGATTCATATAGGCTGTATGGCTGCCTTATTACTTCTTACAGTTTATGAGATTACAAAACAAGTGTGGGTTTCAGCATTATCCTGCTGGTTAAACAAAAATATCATAATCTATTGTAATCACAAATCATATTTAATTTTAAATCTTATATTCTTCCCCCGGAAGTTCAGTTCCACTATTTTTTTCAGGTGTCCCACAATTGGGTTCCAAAATTTATAGAGCCTAAATAATTATTGTCAGCTGAAAACTGAACACGAAATCTCTTAATGCATATAAAGGTATCTGTCTTATAGGTCGTAATCTGGTAGAATTTCACCAACGTTCTAGAGGCCCTCTATGTCTCCGTCATCAGAACCCTGATGTGAGAACTTCAAAATTTATATATAATTCTTATGGTGACTACCGTACTTATTTATAGAGAAATGCGATAACTCGAAAATAAATAAGCAGGGAGACTGTTTTAAAAAATTAATGTATTGTACATTTAGTCATTTTTCATAAGCATATTTCTGCCGATCTGCAAGTATCTGAGTGACGATATTCATGTCGGTTAGAGGGCACACACATATCAGTTTCATGTCATAGTCACGACAATATCAGTCCATTGGTTTGCAGAATGGAAGCTTTTAATTTTCTGAAGGTCATTCAATGAGGTCACTCACATGAGAGCGTCATGGCATAATCACCAAAATATCAGTCCGTGGGTTTTCCGAATAAAAGCTTAAAATTTCTCAAGGTCATATTTTGAAACGCATATTTATGCCGATCTATGGAAGCCTGGGTGACCATATTTATGTTAGTTTGAGGACATGTGTAGGTCAACATCTCATCAAGATGACGATAAGATCAGTCCAAAAATTTGGGGAATATAGGCCCTTAGAATTTTCGAATTGTATAAAACTGAGTGGACATATTCATGTCAGTTTGAGGTCATGGATAGGTCAACGTCACATCATTATCACGACAATATTAGTCCAATATTTTGAGGAATATAGACTTTTAAATTTTTCGAGCACACTTCAAGAACATTATTCTCACGCTTATATCTACCTAACCGTATTAATCTGTGTGACAACCATTATGTTATTTTGAAGCAAAGTATAGATTAACTTTATACCTAAGTCTGGGTAATAACATTCCAAAAATGGGGCTATTTGAGTTAGGTTTGATTGGGTTAGGTTTGATTATGTTAGTTTAGGTTAGGTCATGTTAGGTTAGGTTCGTTTATGTTGGTTTAGTTTAAGTTAGTATTCGTAAAGTTTTGTTAGTTTAAGTTATGTACGTTTAGGTCTGACCATTCGGCTACCCTGACTGAGGTTTTCCGTGATTTTCCTCAGTTGTAAGATAAATGCCAGGGTATAATTCTAGAGGGGCACTGCCCGCTACCCCAATCGAGGAGGCCCTCATCTGAAGTGATCCCCCCAAGTCGCAGAGGCCTTCAGCCGAAACGACCCCATCCCCTTTGGGTTAAAACCCCAGAGAACCAAACAACCAAATTACTTTGGGAAAATTGCTTGACGGGATAACCTCCCATCAGCAATAAAGACCATAGTTTGAACAGTCGGGGCTCCCGCCACAACAAAACCCCGGTTAGCTTAAGCAAATCCCGTTTAATATTAAGCCTCTGTTTATCATTTCTTGCAATGCGTTTCTTAAGTAGGAATTTTGGTACCTAAGCTAAGGGACCATGTCTTGCACTCGCGCAGGACTCCACCCTTAGTTAGCATTTTGGTTGATTGGTTGGTATTGGCTCACTCATCGCCCTGATGACGGAGACAGTATGACCTACTAAACGTTGGTAAACATCTACCGTATTACATGGCACAAGACAGAAATCTTCATACTCACCGCTGTGATAACCTCAAATGATACATGATAAAAATCCTTTTTCGTTCACTTTTCAGCATGTACCAAAATTACATGCTTTTACTATTTGAAATGAAAATATAATACATTTTGCATAGGCTGATGTCTGAGACTGTTCTGAGCAAATAATTGTGTAAGAATGTGGGGTCCACGCAGATCCTGCAGGTAAATCGGAATAGTGCGTTCTCGTCATTTTGACGTCTGAGATCTCAGCGATATCGTGTTCAGTATTTTAGGCCCATATAGTACACACATCCTGGCACGCATATGTAGATATTTCTGATATCATGAACACCTCTATATCTGCATATGCAGACCCACATACATGGTACAGACTGGTGTAATTTGTCATGGATGATTTTTAAATGTTCCTTATCAATACATGCAATCACTCCACATGTGTGTTATACGGGCAGCGGCTCTTTAGAGCAAAAATGACACAAGTGAGGAATGATTTGTAATTCGTCTTGTTTTTATGAATCTTATTGATACGTTCACCTTAGTGAAACAGCGGCTGGTAATAAGGGACTTTCTTTTTCCATGTCAGTACAATTTTGATCTCAATTTCTGTACAACGTAATACTGGAATGAAGTTTTGACTACAGAAGTTACAACGGAATTTAATTTTGTGTGGTTTCGGTTCTCTCTTGACTTGCTTTGGGGCCCAAATCGAAATTTTATGTTTACTGAAAGTCGTTTGTCGTACAAAGAATAATACAACGCTAAATAATATACAGATCTCATTAAACGTCATGATTATTGACTGTCGCATAGATGAACTCATTTTTCGGTGCTGTTAATACCATTTTCCCGCCAGCCAGTTCTGTTCACTTCCAACACTCCGAACTTATTTCCATGGAAAAGCTATTCTTCAATCTCCTTTTTGATTTTCCACATGGCCGTTTCCCAGGAAGTCTCGTCTCCAGAATTCTTTGTGACTTTGCTTATGGACGCCATCCGCCGTACACGTCCAACCCACAACAGCGTACACTTAGACTGATTTCAGTATCCCATCAACATTAAGTGACTGATACAAACCACGTCCTTTTTAGGTTATATTATATATTGGTCACTGTCTGCGCCAATCTGACTCCCAAATATATTCTTGAGCGCTTATTTTGAAAACACTCATAATACGTCTTATCTTCAAAACAAGAGACTATATTACACATCTATAAAATGAAAATCGAAAAATAATCATTTTTCATATTCTTGACTTCAATAGAATTTGTGACTGTATAATTTCTTTTTGTATGTCACGTGATTAAGGAAATCGAAAGTGATAATAATCACATCCCACTGTCGATCAGCTAATTATTTTTTAACAACGGTCTTGATGACTGAGTGCATCAGTATTGTTAATGTTCATCACCGATAAATTCCTATCTGCGATACGTTTAATTAAAATTTAAAAGCAAATTAACGTAGCAAAACCTCAAAGCACAGTTTTTAAAATGTATGAGCATTTTAAAATTCCTCCTTAATTACTTCACATGGGGAATATCTTTGCAGGCAGATAGATGTCTTACAATTAAGTGATATAAATCCGTCATCTGTCCATTCGTGTGGGATACGTCGTCGAAACACAGTGGAATCAGAAATTTGATTTTGGTTATCGCGAAAGTGGATCGAGGTTTATCTCTGTTGTCGGTTGAATGGAGCATTATTTTTCCGATTTCTTGTCTAATGCCACTCACAAGATCTGCCCTACGTTTCATGAAGCAGCTTACGGGTTCGATTCTAAGGAATTTCGTCCAAATGTTCAAGCAATTTCTTTTTCAATTATAAGTTGTAGGAAGTATATGGGCGTCTGGAATGTAGGAGATTTCCTGTAGAAAATTAAATTCAAAAGACAGAGCAAAATTAGGAATTTAGAACTGTAACTGGGGTAGAAGGCACGGTAGTACTGTATAGTAGTTTTAAGGAATAGTTGTAGTAGTAGTGCTGATTGAACTAACTATTTAAGGAATGTGATCGCGAAAACCTGGCGTTGGGCGGCCACATATCACTGTATAGAGTACTGAAATACATTTATTGTGTATTTATCTCTGCCTATATTTTCTACGATCCAAGATCCATAATTCTGAATCGGACGACAAATCCAGGAAATGTATGTCTCTTGTACTGTGTAAAATTAAAATTAATTAATTTGATCTCCCGATATCGTCCAACACTCGGACGTATATAAAAGCGTACGTATGTAGTTGTATCCCTTCATATCGTATGGTTTAAACTGAAGAAATCACGACCTTTGAAGTTAAATTTTGTTTCAGTTAAGCAAGTGGTTCCTTGCATCACTTTAACACAACCGAATCCCGCGTGAGTGTAGTGAAGCTTATAATTTTACTATTGCAGACCTCGAGAACGTCACGTGTTTATGGTACAAATCTCATGCTATACGTCAAAGCTTTTCCTTCAGCTTGACGTTCGGATTATACCTGAAAAGGTTGCAGGCCACTGGTGTGCACAGTGACGGGCCTTAAGTTGAAAAATCGGTAGTTGATGAAGAATATCGAAATCTGTTTCGTTGTCATAAAACAAAACATTCCTCGATTATCGCATTTTGTACGTCAATTTTATTGTGCTCTAAAATCATTATTTTTAAATCTTAGCTAAGTTTCTGATGAAAAAATTGAAGTACAGTGGAACCTCGATATACCGCGGCTATGATCATGTCCCTAAATACGATTATATACGTTTTACATGTTTCACATATAACGCGGGTACTGAAGCTGTTCCCCGAAACCCGCTTTATATCGAGGTTCCACTGTATAAAAATGACAGATGGGGAATCTCTTGGAAAACGTTTACTTGGAAGACTGAGAATGAGATGGAAATGTGTTGAAAAAAATTGTTTCCATATGAATGGAGATTTTTTTCTTAATATTAAATTTTGAGCCTTTGTAAAAT